ACAAAGTATGTGCTTTCTGCCAGTTCAACTTCATTTGCAGTCCACTATCTGTACTATCCATGATACAGATAATTAGAAAACAGCACCAGGGCATAAGCAAATGAAGTTTTCTAACCTCAGAATAAAATTGCCAGGTTGACATAATAAGTGTTTTAGACGTGTGCAGCAACAGGAAAGGTAATTATTTAACTTGCCTATTAATTCAGTGGCTATGAAAGGCACAGTACTCCTTGAAGCGAGCATGAAGTCAAGGAGATGAGGTTTGCACTGATCCTACTATGGGGAGGTTGGGTGGCCTATTTCTATGTTGGCTAGGCATTTCTTATAATATGGTTGGGTTTGGTTGCTTGTAACCTCATTAAATATTTGCCATTTGTGTGTACGTTGGCAGGCAGAGTTCTGTGAAAATAACAGCAAGTGATCATGTAGCCAAATACCTGATCTCTGTTTGCTTAGCCTGATATGTCGTCATATTCTTCCCAAGTACGTTAACGTACAGCTAAAATGTGAACTAGGGTGTCAGACCCGATCTGAAGCTTGCCTGGGAAGTTGGGCCAGAGATCTAGGCTGAGGTCATGGCACTCGGCTATTGCTGTTTGTGCATTAAAATTAGTTAGGGCTCTGTATGTGGGGATTGTTGACTCCTCTGAAAAATTGTGTGTATGTTTCTGCTTCTTGTAAGGGTTACTGTTATCCCTTCTGACATTCCTGGAACTTCCTCCTCCACCCTTAATAATCAGAATTTGAAATGACATCTTCATCCCTCCAGAGAGGGAAGTGAAAGACACTGCTCAGATCCAAAATAAGAAGCCCTGCCTTGCCAAGACTCTGCAAAAGTGCTGCAGAGGTATGTCTGAATTGCTCAGGATCCCTCTGTGACGTATCGTGTGCTTATGCAAACTCCACCTAACTGCATTACTTTTGCCAGGAAACCCTTGAGCAAAATAATGTGAACTTTATCAGTGCCCTGTTAATTCAGGTGGCTGTCATGGATTCTTACGGGCTATTCAGTTATCCAGGCATTTGAATGTAACATTAAACTTGCAATAATACAACAAATCCACCTAGTGTTAGATGCAAAATCTGGTGGCCACGTGGTATAAAGCACTGGTACTTGCTCTGCTTGTTCAAGTGAATTTGGCAGGATAAGGTAATGGAAGACTTTATTGCCAAATTGGGGTATAATCTATTTGTGCTACTCTGGCTTCATGCTAGATTGGGTATCAGCTTTTTTGGGGCTAGGTTAGACACAGACACCCACAAAAGTGTTGAATTTTGTTTTCTGTCAAAGTAGGCAGGGATGTGGTGGTAGTTTGCATCAAATTGCACTGCTTGATGATCTGGTCATTCACTGATCCAACACAAAGTATCATGTAACCACTGCCTTAACCATCAGATAACTTGTTGATCCAATGTTTGCACGTATTTAGTGAGAGAGCTGCTGCTTGGAGCTATACAGGAAGGGAGGTATAATTGACCCTATTAGTCAAAAATAAAGAATCAGTTCATCTCAGCTTACTCAAAACGTAACATAAACCCTGCAAAATTGTCTGTCATCTGGATGGAATCAACACGAGGTGTATGGTCTGCTCACAAATTAGCAGCACATGCTGGAAAGCAAATACAGAACGTGTGTGTCAAGTGGCTAGTCCATGGATGTGTCTTCTGTATCATGTGCCCAGCATCCTCTAACTTTTGACTGCAAGCATTGTCAGCCTCCCTCAAAAATTTTGTGAATAATTGCCTACATACGTGCTTTCTTGTTTTACTGCATTAGCCAATTTGTTCTACATTTTTTCCTCAATTTGTTTGTGTTTGTGTCAGAGAGTTTGTTTCAGAACACAGTGGGGAAGGAAGGAAGGTATGGGTACACATTGGCACTGCTGTATGTTTGTCCTGAAGCAAATAGGTAAGGTCAAAAAATGAACTTCAAGAAAAACGTCACAAGGCTGGTGAAGAGGCCAGTGATGTCCTTGGGGTCATGTGGGCACCTTCAGAAAGCTCTCTCAGCTGCATTGGAATTTTTTGCTGTGTATTAGAAAGTTGTGTCAGAAAAGGCAAACTATTCGGGTCTCCATTCCAGAACTTTCATTTATCTTTTATGTATGTAAGTCCTAGCAATTGAATACCTTGAAGATGAGATTTGAAGTCATAAACTCATTTGGAGCTCATTTGATTTGAGTGGTTTTTCTAATCAGCTGTAGGAATGAACTTGTGAAGACTGCATCCAGCTGGGACCCTTGAAACTCACTTAGGAGCCTCTACGCATGAGATACAAGGTCTGGTGGCTGCTTACAAAAACTCTTGTAACCCCAACTATGAATTCTTGTTTGACCTTTGTGAGCTGCTATGACTATTGCTATATAATCCAAACTCTAGCTATGTCAGATGTCCCATTTGAGATGTGGCCTATTCTTTACACAGAGTGAAGCGTTTACGTAATCAGGCAGAGCAGAGCACTGGATATCTCTCCAAAAAGTCACAGAAGTGACAAGCAAAGCAGGTCATTAGAGATTTCTTTTTACCATACCTGATCTCTCTTCTAGTTCATTAGTGTGGGTTATATTGTAATAGTACTTCATGCTGCAGTGAAGATCTGTATTGTGCTAGACTCCATACAAACACAGAGAATAACACAGACCTTGCAAAGACTTTATAATACAATTTAACTTGGAATGAAACAGATGTTTATGACAATGGAAGAGAAGAGAATAATAAAGACAGCATTAGTACATGTTCTAATGCTTATTGTGGGTATTGCTTTGGACTCTGAATCATTAGAAAGCTTTATACAAATATTTACTCATAAATAAATATTAGCAAAACCTATTATATGAAGAGAGAAGACAGGACAGTAATTCTTATTTCCAAATAGTACACAGCATTTTTGGCCTAAAGCAAAAAGTGTGATAGCTAACAGGCTGACTAGCACAGAGGCAAAAATAAATGGTACTTCAGGAATGCACAAAGACCTGGAAGAGATATTTAATGGTAGCTTTTTTAGCTTGTGTAACTGGATGGTGGTATAATATAGTTTAGGCATCTTTTGTGGATATTTTTACTTGCTAGTGTTTTTCAAGGATATTGTTTCAAACATGGTTACCTCAAATCACTGCTCAAAAGCGTCGACAAGCACACATTTTGTTGTGAGGTTACGAATGGTTCTCTTCATTGTTCACTTCCCGCGGCAGTTCAGGCGCCTCCTACAGCAGCACACTCACTGGCTTTTGGACTTAACGCCCGCCTTTGAAAATGGCACTGTTTTTTTCTGGTTTTAACATTTATGGACTGAGTTGTGTTAGCATATGGGGCTTGATTGTGCCCTGTATGATCAGCTGCGATTCTTGGGCTTTGAAAGCCAAGCAGGTAGATTAGAATAATGCTTCTTATCCTCTTTAAAACAAAAGACTACTAAACCTTTTTAAAAAGAGTCCACTGATTGATTCTCTTGTACAGCGTTGCTACAGAGTATTGTTTACAGCCTAGTAGGAATTCAGCTAAGCTTTCAATGTGTTGTGGTTTTTGTTTGGTTTTGTCATTCCTGTTTTCTCCTACTTTGTTCGCCTTTAAGTTTGGCAATGTGTATGTTTTTCCTGAAATAATTTTCTCATGTTTTTTTAGATGCATCTTCTGATATGTCAGGGGAGGCAGCTGATGGATACTTCTCAAAGGTTCATCTGTGGTGATATTTAGGGTTGGCTCTGGGGTGCCTTGCTGGTTTGGGTCAGGGAGCTCTGGGCTTTGCAGAGCCAAGCCTTGAGCATCACCTGGCTGAGCAGTTTCAAGGTTTGAGAAGGCACATTATTAGCCATGTAGCCGCTTTTTGAGTTGCACTTTTGAGTAGCTCTGCTGCCCTCTTACATCCTATAACAGGTAACATTTCTTGGCAAGCCTGTGGTTCTTGTCAGTGGGAATGGTGCATATTCAGCACCTGTCATATTAGGTGATGTAGAAGCTATGTGAGGTTTCTCTCCAAGCAAAACTGAAAGACATCCCAGATAGTTCTCTTATGTCTTATAAATTTTTCAGTCATCCAGGAGCGGCTAGGTGCCTGTTGGTGATGGCAAAAACATGGTCTGAAACCCAGCATTGACAGGCAGCACTGTGTGTTCCTGCACTGAGCAAAATGGGGTGTCTCGGGTCCCACGTTCTAGCCGTGCCATGCAGTCACTGATGCAGAAAGGACTAAGGGCTGTTGGTCCCATGCTGCTGGTGACACCCACAGCATTGGCAACACACATAACTCAGTTACCCATCTAGGGTCCAGCCGGTGTCATTTGGTCTCCTGCAGTGTCCTGCAGCACTCAGTGTGCATTTAGAGCCCATGTTATGGCCTGGATGCAGACCCTACTTTGATATAAGTGGATAGAAGAGGGGGACAGGCTAGCTCTAACCTTCAGTGAATTGTCCATGCTCAGAAAATGAAGTCACTGTGTCCTGCTTGATTACAGCCTTGATCTAGGGTCTGGCTTGTGAGAACAAGGAGGTCGTTTTGTCATCAGATCTGCTCTGATTTTACAATGAATATTCCCTTTTCATACAAAGATGAAAACTGTACTCCCTCAAACAAAAATTTTGCACTAAAGTATGTACAAAGAAGAATAGGTACTTTGGAGACTGCAGTTGAAAATACAGTTCAGGCCGGGGACTGGCGTGAGCGGGGGAGCCCGTGAAGGTAAATGTGCGGGAGTGACTGGCACCAGTAAAGTATGTGACTTACCTGTATGCACTGTGACATTGGTGGGGGAAAAGGGTATCATGTGCTAGGATGTAACTGCTGGGCAAATTACCCTGAAATAAATGATACCAGACTCGGGGCCAAATTCTGATGGCACTCTTGCTTCCAACAAATTTTCATAAACTGTGTGTGAAAGAAAACCCTCGCTTTTATGCACTAAAGCCAAAGCAGTATGTCCTAGCCCAGCTGTGCAGGTTGCAGCGCGTGCGATGTACCCTGACTCCCTCTCTGCCTGTTTCTTCTCTCTCTCTCTTCAGATGGCCACTAACCCATGTGCCAGGCAGCCCTGGCCCGCGCTCGGCGAGCCGGCCGGAGTCGGCCCCTGCCACTGAGGCAGGGAGGAGGGAGGAATCGCCATGGCCTCGCGCCGGCGGGCCCGGCACGCCGGCCCTCCCGACGGAGGCTGGGGTTGGATGATCGTTGCTGGCTGCTTCCTTGTCACTATCTGTACCAGGGCCGTGACGAGGTAAAGGGGGTGCTTCTTGTCTTTCTGACCTGTTTGTGGCATTACCCTTCTGGGTTGGTTTTTTTTTTTTTTTCCTTTTCTCCTCTCCTTAGGAAGAGGATTTGGGATCTCCCCTGATGTCTCACAGCTGCAGGGGTTATTCTGGCTAGCTACAAACCTCTCTCTTGCTACATTTTTAAAGGCTTCCTGAAATCGCTAAGGCTGTGGGGATGGCTGAGGGATTATGAGCCCTCTAGTTTTAGTCTTGTCTCCTCTGACAGCTGCTCTCTCTCTCAACACCCTCTGCTTGAGTTTTTGCAGAATCAAAGCCTGGGTGGTTTGGTCGGGGAGGGAGGAATCATGCAGGGTCTCTTCAGGTCCGTTGTGTCTCTCTGACCCCACAGCCGTGCTCGATTTTGCTAGTCCCAGTGGATTTGCTTGGCTCCTGAGCCTACCTGAGACCTGTAAATACTCCCTTCTCCTACTGCAAGCATTTCAGGTACCATCCTGCCTGCCCGAGAAGGTCTGTGCCCTAGAGACGAAGCCCCTCTCTATACCCTTCTGGTATCCAAAATATGCAGAACATATTTTCTCAAAAATTCTTCTCAAAAATAGAAAGAACAGGAATAGACTGCTGCCTTGCATAAACATAATGTATACATCTGGAGTGAGATGGCTTCCACAGCTGCCGTCGGGTGACTTTGATGTTGACTGGAGACAGCAGACCCTGCTGTGTGTGAACATGGACATTTCAGCTATATTAAGCAGAGCGATAGGCACCCTGGTAGCTGAGGAACACTGAGACAGTGTTTTGTTGGACAGTCAGTATAATGTAAACACAGTGTTTCCTACCTAATTTTTATGTTTCTTTTTAAATAAAGTTGCCAGGTTTAGGGATCTAAATTCTAGGGTCTTGGAGTCAACAGCATAAAAGGGGCATGGAAACGTTGACACAATGTTGGTTTACGTATGCAAATGTACTAATTCCCTAATAACAGTAGAGATTTCCTAGTGGATTTAATTCCTTTTTCACACGTGAAGTGTGCTACATGCAGGAAATATCTAATGGCTGGCACACATCTAGAGTATATACAGGAATGAAATATATGCAAGAAAAAAGCTGAAGAATGTGGTTGTTCGTTGATTTGCAGGAGGGAAAAAGAGAGGGGGGAAAGGGATCTCCTGCTGATCCAGAAACCAGAATGAAACTATGCAGCCTTTTAATCCGTTCTCCCGCAGAGACAGGTAGAACAGTAATGCTCGTTAAGCAGAGCAAAGTAACCTCTCCTGGAAGCATTTTAATAAACTGTTGGAAGGTCCATGGGCTCCTGCTGTGTTTTGATTCTCTGTTCATGAGGAGTTGCTTTTCACTTGCTTTGCATTTGTGCATCCATGGACACATAGCTATAGGTGGTGTTGGCTCTTACAGGTACTGTGCTGGCCCTGCCCTGCCAGTTTATGCAGATGTGAATGCCACCATTAGCAAGCAACCAGGTTGGTGAAGCACTGGGGAGCTGGGGCTTTGTGTACCAGGGAAGCAACATTCTGTTGTGGGCTATAATTTGCTGGTGATAATTACAACTTCAATTTCATTTCAGTTAAAAATGGTATGAGTTATAAAAATCTAGCAGCAGATACCACAGTGAGAAACATGTGGTATTATAATGTTCATACTCTCTCTGAAGTAGTTATCTGTCTGAATTAGATTCTCCATCAGCCTAATTGCCTAATCCCACTAGTGGGATAATAGTTGGACACCAATTTGTGATTCAGTTGTTGCCAGTGCAAAGCAAGAACTCTTCTCTGGTTGAATCACCCTAGCCTAGGTGCCTTACACAGAGCGCTGTTGGAATTATTCAACTTGCACACATCATTTCATGTCTTGTCCCTCATGCATTAAGGTAGCCTTTCATTTCCAATATCCATTAGAAACTGTTTAAAAATTTCTCCATCTCATTGGGATTTAAGCAAACCACAGATTTGATTTTCCTGGGAGCTGGAGAGGACTTTCAAGGGGGTACTCTTTATACCTGAAGAACGAGATTGGTGCTTTCTGTGAGGCAAATATCCCATGTTCGATAGATTGGTGCTCATGTTTTCTTTCCTAGGTGCATCTCCATTTTTTTTGTGGAGTTCCAGGCATACTTTGGGCAGGATTATGCCAGAACGGCTTGGATCCACTCCATCGTTGACTGTGCTACGATGCTCTGTGGTGTGTATTGCCCTTTTAAGACTAATGTGGCTGCTTTTCCTTCAGCTCCATCTGGTTTTAGCGTGTTCACAAGTTGGTGGAGTCAGCTGGGAAAGATAGATATTGTGGGCTCTCTGGGGTATGGTATATCCAAGCTGCTTCTCCCAGCATAGTTGTGCAGGAAGGGAGTGTCTTCATACTACAGAAAAGAAGCAGAACTTTGTTTTGTCAAATGATCTAAGTTTTCAGAAATGTACTTTTGTTGAGGTCTAGTGGGACAAGTCGTGTTTGAGAGCTACTAACTGAGCACTTATTTCTTTTGCCTTTTGATTGGAATCATATTTGAGATTTAGCACAGTATGTACATCTTGCCTTCAGATCAAGTCACAGTTATCCTCCTTTCAGCAAACTTGTATGTTTACAAATAGTATTTTCCCTTAAAAGAAAATTCAGTGTTACTAAAAATGTCTAGCATCAATGCAGCAGTTGTACCGAATTTCTCACAGGTTTACTTTAAAACTGTACAGCTATGTGAAAATTCATGCCCTAATCCTGTGGAAGAGGGTTAATCTGTGAGCATTGCTATGAAGGCACAGGGACACAGCTGGAATGAGACTCTCCTGTGTCAGCCAGGTTATATCTTGGGAAAAAAGAGAAATGAGGATAACCTTGCCCTGGCATTGCAGGTAGTGGAGAGGGAGAGGGCTGGTGATGACACCCCATGGTATAGGCTGAGTGATCTGGGAGCCATCAACATTGGAGAAGTGCAGGAGAGGGGTAGCAGCCCTGGAGATGGTCCAAAAGATGAGACTTCTCCTGTTTAGGTCTGACGCAGAACCCACAAGGGCAGGGAGGAGCAAGGAAGGATGACTGAAGTTACTGAGGGGTGAAGTGCAAATTCCAGGTGGGGGAAGGTCTCAGTGTTCCAAGCGTGAAGTAATGAACAGTGTGGGCTGTCACTGTGCCCTCTCTTGACCCTCAAAACTGCAGAGTAGCTGTGTCCTGTAATGACTTTGATCTACTAAAATGGCTGCTGAGAAAGCTACTGTAAATTTCAGTTTTATCCTGACTTTCAGGAAAATGAGTTTTAGAAGTTTTTGGTGCTCGCACCATTGTGATGGGGAGATCTTGGAAGACGACTCTGTGTATCTGTGATCACCGTTTTCTCCTGCTTGCCTACTGCTTCCTTTTCCTTGATGACCATTGCAATGAACTGTGTGTGAGTACCTGCCATTAACTACCAGCTTTATTTGTTTCCTTGAAGCCCCGCTTGGGAGTTTAATCAGTAATCATGTATCCTGCCAAGTTGGTATCATTCTAGGAGGGCTGCTTGCATCTGCTGGACTAATTCTGAGTTCATTCGCCACCAGCCTGGAACATCTCTACTTATCATTAGGAGTCCTTACAGGTAGGAGGCATTCAGCCCCTTTGTTCCTGCCAGGAAAACAACATGGGAATGTCAAAAATGACAGTCCTTCCTTTCGAGAGGGATGATGTCTTCTCCATGTCATATTGTCACCGCACTGATGAATAGAGATGCTCAGACCTGTTCTGTTCACTGTAAAAGAGAGGCTTTGACTGCCCCTGTGAGGGCTTCAGAACTCAGTGAGTCTCATGCAGCCCAAATGCAGCATGCTGGAAAATCAGCTCTTTAACTGCTGTTACAGAGAGGACTATGGATAAAGTTCTGAAATTATGGGAGGTCAGGAAGGACTGCTGTTGCAGGTGGTACACAAAAATGTTTCCTTTTTTGCCTGTGATTTGGGAGGAGTTTGCTATGGTAGGAGTTCTAGACTGCACCAAAGTATTTGCACATTAAAAAAAAAGTTTAAATCAAAACAGAAGAGTAAGTGGCAGAGGAGCACTGGGTGAATACCTGGTACCTCAGCTGTGCACCTTATTTTTGTCTGCATTACATTCCATTTGAAAAGCAAACAAATTGCTGGTTGGTAGTGTTGGTGTAGCAGCTCCTCCATTTGTGTTCAGGTATGGTGGTAAAAAATAATCTTTGCTCTGTCCTATCTCCCAGCGTTTGCTGTGCACAGAGGAACTCGAGAGGTGCCCATGGTCACACTGACATTCCTTCCTCATTAATACTGACCTGGTAGCCAAGGCGATATAAGCCCTTGTACTTGGTCCCCTGCTGTTTAGTAACAAGTTGGAATTACTGCAGTTCACATGCTGCCAACAGCTTGTTTGTTTAAAAGAAAAAAAAAATTCTTACTGTAGTGCATGTCATTCCTGTATTACGATGTTAATCTTTGACAAATGTGTTCATAACAAATAAAAAGCCTCCTTGTAACTCAAGGGATTGTGCCACATACCATGCTAATGCCACTGAGGCTTCCTTAGTGAGAACTGCTGTGAATACTGAGGTGGAAAAGCAGTTGCACCTTGTACATGGACTTGTAAAGAGCCAATTCTACAAGCAGTGGATTTCTAGTCTGTGGGGACTGATTGATGGAGAGGTGAACTGTTGGTAAAGGGTAGAGGTGGTGCCCCAACCCAGGGAAGAGGTGGGACCATAGCTGGTGAATGCCTGAATTGATAAAATCTGCAGGACTTGAAACCCTGAAGAGTGAAGCAGAGGTGAGATGGGGGAGTGGCAATAAGCAGCAGAGTTCCTTCTAAGAGGAAGGAAAATGTTTTCAGCCCCAAACTTTGCATTTCCACTTTTCACAGGGCAAGCATTGACTTTTTTGGGACCTATTTACCCCCTGCCAACTCACTAAAAAATAAATGGTGTGTACACCAAAGAGAATATGATTTTCACAGCTCTCAAGTGATGATGTCTAGCTCAGGGGTGATTCTCTGGCCCTGCTGCCCACACAGGTCCAACCCCAGCTCTCTGCCCTGCTCCTCCCCTCGCCTCCTGAGGGGTGCCAGAGTGGGCACCCGCCACCCGGAGTCCCTCTAATCCACTTATCCCCTCCTGGCAGGCTTAGTGCCCGCCCCACACAGTGCGGCCTTTGAGGAGGACATGGCAAGCTGGTTACGCGCCCGGTGATTATCTCCTCTTTTGGCAAGTTGTGTCAAAGGCAGTGGGGACCATTTTACCCTCAATGTAGGACCTGCTCCAAAACCCTAGTCAGGAACTCATTTCTGCAGCTGATTCAGAAATACATGTTTTAGTGTTACGGCAAGCATTTGATGATTAAAATCTGCTTTCTGGTTCTGCAGCAGAGACCACAGTCTTTTTCCAAGTCCAAGAGATGGATCTGATTTGTTTACTAAATTGGACATGGCTTTGTTTTCTGAGGCTTTTTCCCCCTCTTTACTTGTAGGCAGGGATTTAAAATGGTCAGGACTCCAAGCAGCTGCTGCATGGAGTTTGTTTAGCTGACTAAAAAAGGTTTATTGTAGAATATTAGTAACAGAGACAGACTCTTTGTACTGTGTTTCAGAGGCCTGAAAATTAATGTTCAGGTTTGCAACAGACCGGAACACAAAGTGGTGCCTCATCAGGACAGTGTGCCCAGTGCCAGCATCTGTGCAAACCCTGGGGCAAGACCTCATCTTGCATCCAGGAGAGGCTGACACACAATTTCTCTGGTGTTTATTGATCGTCCTTGCTCTTAAGTGAACCCCATTACTTCTCCCTGAGCCTTGTTATGGTGGATTAATGATGATCCGTTAGTTTGTCAAGTCAGTGACCCTGACAGTGGAAAAAAGGAGTCATCCTGGTTTCTCTTCACACTGTGACTGGGCTGTGTGATACAGAATCAGAAGAAGCTTCCTATTCATTTGTGTCAATGAAAGCAGGTTATGTGGTTTAATGTGTTCCATATGTCGTGCTTAGTATTAAGCCATCTGCACTGTGCTTTCTCTTCTAGGACTTGGGTTTGCACTCTGTTACTCTCCAGCCATCGCGATGGTGGGCAAATATTTCAACAAAAGAAAAGCGTTGGCATATGGAATAGCCATGTCAGGAAGTGGAATCGGTACCTTCATCCTGGCCCCTGTGGTCCAGCTCTTAATCGAGCAGTTTTCCTGGCGTGGAGCTTTACTCATCCTGGGAGGTTTTGTTTTAAACCTCTGTGTCTGTGGTGCCTTGATGCGGCCTATTGCTCTTAAGGAGGACCATAAAACTGCTCCTGAGTTTCTTGAACAAGATTATGTCCCCAAAGCACAGAAACGAGACTTAAAGCGAATGTCCATCTGTTCACCTTTAATCAAAGTGTGGTCTCATGAATGTTTATGCTACTGTTCATGGAAGGAATATGACTTTTTACTGATGCCAGACTTCATGGTGCTGGCAGTGTCGATTTTATTTATGGCATATGGCTGTAGCCCTCTTTTTGTCTACCTAGTGCCTTATGCTTTGAGCGTTGGAGTGAGTCATCACCAGGCCGCCTTCCTCATGTCCATACTTGGTGTCATAGACATCATCGGTAATATCACCTTTGGATGGCTAACAGACAGAAGGTAATGACTTATGGCTAAGCAAGTATAAGCTTTGGTTGGTGGGAGGCTGGATGCATGTGAGGTGTAACACATATAGAAGTTAACATTATCGACTTTTTCTGTAGGATGTGTAACTTTTCAAAAAACCCAAGACACATTCTAACTTTCAGAAATGCTTACTATTTAATGTTTTTGTCTCTTCTGAGTTTGTTCAATTCTGCTGGTTTAATTTCTTTTTTCCCTGAAGAAATGATGTGTTTGTGCAAAGCTCTTGCATTTGACAGTGGAAATGTAGTGGTATGTTGAGCATGATCCTCTGTACCTATTTCCTAGAGGATCTCACTCCGCTTCCTCCACGTTTCAATCTCTTTTGTGCTGCTGGGGAGACACAGAAGTAATGGAAAAGTGTCAAGGGTCTGGCCCAACACTGTCAGGCATATACTCAGAAGAACTGACCTATATTTCTTATATATTATCCGGTATATAAGAACTCACAATGCTTTGCTAACTCGGCTCACTCCAAACATCTGTGTGCAGCATCTGTAACATCAGTAGAGACTGGCTAGATTAAGGCAAATTTTGATTCTAGAGGACACATTCTTTGTGTGTATTGCATTTGTGGGAAAAATCAATCATTGGTTTTGTGGGGCAGAGAGAAAAGGAATTGCCATCTCACTTAGCTCATGCTAACTCCAGTGTTTATGTGCTGATGAGAAGGATGACAGCTAAAAGAGGTATACTGTGATATTTTTGTCATACCACTGGGAGCACTTTACTGAGCTGGGAGGTAAAGCCTGATGGAATACTGCTTCGAACATTGAAACCTCAAAGGGCTGCAAAATCCTGGCAGCAGAGCAGCTCCCCTCACTAGGGGCAGCCCGAAGAACACGGCAGGCAGCATGGGCTGCTGCTTACCAGATGTTTCTGCAGCTGTAGGCGGACAGCTTTCTCTACCTGGGCTTTTCAGTGTTGAGCTTCTCATCTTGAAGACTGTGTAAGAAAATGGACTCAAATCTGAGCTATATGAAAGAGAGACTGAAGTGCTGCATGCCAGGGTGTAGAAACTGAGATGCTGTGTCCAGTCATACTCTTTTTCTTTTCTGTTTTGAAATTTGCAGGTGTCTGAAGAAGCATCGGCACTTTTGCTACCTCTTTGCTGTGGGAATGGATGGCCTCTGTTGTCTTTTCCTGCCAGTTCTCCAAAACTTCCCCTTGCTTGTGCCTTTCTCATTTACCTTTGGCTACTTTGATGGAGCCTATGTAACGCTGATCCCTGTTGTGACAGCAGATGTAGTGGGAACTTCTTCCTTATCATCTGCACTGGGTGTCGTGTATTTTCTGCATGCCATACCTTATCTAGTGAGCCCGCCTGTTGCAGGTCAGTTCACAAATGACTTTACTATAATCTTATCACTACTTTATATTTACCTGTTGGTGTGATGTAAAAGGAGAGGAAGAACAGCAAATGCACACTAAATGTGGAGGTAGCCCCTGGGCAGAGAAATAACACACCTAGACCTTCATAAGACTTTAGATCCCACTTAAGCCCTGTCTTGATGGGATGATTTCTACATAGAGAGTGAGTTGAAATTTTAAAAAGCAAAACAGTATGGAATGGGGCTTCTAAGAGCTGTTACATCACCACTTCACGTAGTTCAGAAATTGTGTAAGTAGAAGGAACAAAAGATTTCACTGTGAAATTACACAATTTTGAAAATGTAACCTAAAGAGGATCTCATTCCAAGGTTGTGGGGTTGGGGTTTTTTTGTGTGGAGGACTTGATCTTTTCATCTCCAGACTGCTTTGAACAGGTGGGTGAGTCAACTTTACTACTGTTTGGTCACAGGCTTGTCACTGTGATATCAAACCATCATTTTCCCCATCGGTTCCATTACAGTGAAGTAAGGATGAAAGCTGTACCCCTATTATTCTTTAGAAAGAACTTGACACAGTTTTGAATATTGTGGAAGGACAGAGATCTTTTTTCAAACAGTCATGTATAGATATGTCTTGCATATTTCGTCTGCTGTTCACATCAATTACCAATTAATCTCTGCTTCTGAAGCTTTTAATTTACTTTTCCATAGCAAAAAGTATTGCAAAATGGAATTATTTTAAGTGATGCATGAGCCTAGGGTGTAGCTCACTAGATGTTTCTGTGTGAGGATCTCATGCACACAATATTTAATTCCAGGGCTCTCTAAAACATGTCTAATTCCATGCAGTTGAAAGATATTTATTTAGTATTGTGGTGATGACTGCTGTGCTTTTTCTCATGGGTTTGATCTCTAAACAAAAGCCCATAAAAATCTTTGCAAATTCTTTGTAAATTTGTAAATTATCAGAATTTTGGTGAGCCTTTAAAAGCCCATGATTTGTTTTCCTACAGGTTGGCTTGTGGACACAACTGGCAGCTATACTGCATCATTCCTTCTGTGTGGATTTTCTATGATATTTAGTTCAATGTTATTGTGCTTTGCAAGACTAGCAAAGAAAATCAAAAGAGCGCATTTGCGGTCACTCACCAATGATACTGGCACCAAACAGCACATCTGGACAAATGGAGCAATAGCTTATTCTGTCACAGCAGAATTAGACCAAAAGAATTTTGAATTTTTGGCTGCAGATACAAACAGCTACAGCAACAGATGACAAGCGCCGTCAGGATCAGCACTGCACAGCTATGACTGAGACAGAGGTGGCTCTGTAGTGTTAATGCTATTGAAGATACTACTCCTGTGAAACAAGGCATCTCTCAATTAGATTTTTCTGTCATGTTTTAGATGGCTAAAATCTACATACCACAACAGTAATACCAAGTTAATGCAGTAATAGAAGAAAGCTAGACTGAAAATAGAGTTCATAGATACAAATATTCACAAATTTATTTGAAATGCAATATGTTGACTCCACAGGTAATCTCAAAGATTATAATTGGCTATAATAAAAGAAATCTATAAAGTAATCAGTCACCAAAACTGTGAACAATAAATTTTAAAGTATTTCAGAAATAGTATTCATGAAATAAGCTTTTCGGTGTTCTGGTCTATTATGTTTCAATGGACTAATCACACCACCATAAAATCTCCACATTTATCAATCTGCATTAAACTCTGCAAATAACTGTTTCAAATGCCAAAGCCATTTCTTTAGAAAATCTGGCTTGAAACTCTGATTTATGATGAAAGTATCTCTGAAGCAGCTTTAATTTTTACAGTGTGCCTGAATTTTGTACATAGGTTGCAATTTAACTTCAAATATGGTTTTAGACCTACTTTGCCAAGCTCTCCACAGCAAAATTTTGAGGTGTTTGCTGTTTTTTTCCCTGGATATCTTTAAAGCTTGAATTTCTAAACATTAACATTCCAGATATGATCCTCCAGCTGATCCTTGTTGGGAGGGTGGAAGAGGTGCTGTGGCTGCTCTACTATCTGAAGAGGAGTAAATTTGTGCCGGGGAACTAGGCATGCTGATAGACAAACCTGCTTTAGCTGCATTAGTTGGAAGAAGCCTAAAGGCAGTGCAGGAGACCAGAGGAGAGGCTTGTGTTTTTTCAAACACAGAGCCTCTTCCTCCTGTAAAATCAGCAGCTGTTGAAGAAATTTAGAGTCCATGCAAGCAGATGACTGACAGACTGCCCTCTCCACAGGCTATTAGTAAAGACAAAGTTGTTTCTGCATTTTCCAGTGGCAAGTCTGTCTCTTCTTGGACCCAGGAGCTGTATCTTCAGGTGGTGCAAATTACTCGTTTGTGCAAACTGAAGGGCTGATCAGGTCACTTATCCTGGATGGCTGGAACACAACAGCTGGAATTTGCTGATGGTTTCCTGCTACTTGTGTGAGGAATATACTACAGCTGGCTGCTTCTCGGAAGCTATAGACTCTATGTAGTTTGTGGGGTAAATTACTGATGTGATGATTTAATAAATAATGGGATGTTTCTACATTTCCAAAGTGAAACTGTTGTCAGCAGTGGAGGAACTTCACATTCTGCGATGCAAATCACTTCTGTGTTTTGATGCTGCATAGAGCTGTGTTCTGTTCATTAGCAAATTGATCAGACTCCAAATAATTTTTACCAATGCTGAACTAGTAGTTTTGTTAATCACCCGCGGTGTATTCAGTGGTTGCTTATGGTGTCCTGTTCCAGTCTGTGCCTCAGAAGGGAAAGCAAAATAGACTGATGTTCACAAATTTGATTTAGATCAAGAGAACAGCCATAGTGGTATAATGTATTTTATATATATATATGAATAGTATGTGTATCACATAGTTCTGTTATTCATGCATATTTCAAATATAACATTAAAATTGTTTTAGTTCCGTTGTCTGTGCTCAAACAAAGCATTTCATGCTGTCCTGCTTCAGAAGTGTGGTCAGAGCCAGTAGCATGACTTACGTGCACAGACCACAGATTAAGAGATGGGAGTGCAAAAACTGCTTAAAACTAATGACATAACCTTTTTTCACCTATACGTGACAATTGAGCCCTGGGCCCTAATTTTGATTTTAACATACTTTCATTAAAAAAGACAAAAATTATCCATGAGTATTTCTTAATGAGTTAGGAAAAATATGCACATTTGGGAGGAAAAAAAAAAGGCGGCTTTATTAATTAGTAGTGATGAAGATATTGTTTTAGATCTTAATGCAAAAGTTTATATCAAAAAGTAGGGAATGTGTGGTCTACAAAGAAGATAAGCTATTTCAACAAGTTATAAGTGACCACTGACATTTACTTTAGAAAAATTTAATTACTTTTTTTACCACATCATGACATGTCAGCAGTTGTTTGTGCCAGAACTGCGTATTATAAAAATCTGTTGGCTTAATACTATATGCATTTTTATCCTAGTAAACAATGCTGTGTAATTACATTATTAGCATTTTTAATTTTTTTTTTATTTCAAGATATTTTTTTCATAGGCTTTTCTGTTTTGTTTTTAACTTATAATTGAGGCAGTATTTCTTCTTTTAAATATCTATTTCAGCAGAAACATTCAACTGGGTTTATACACAGACCTTTTGTAGAAAATGATATAATTATTTCAGGGTTTTCTAACAGTGTTTCTGCTCTGAATTAAGCCAATGCACAAAATCTTACATACAAGAATAATGCTTTCTGTGCATAAAACACACTGTGAAATATCAGCTCTGTCATGAATCTCCCCAGCTCAGAAACAGAAGGAAGAAAGCGTAGCAAGAAATGACCTGCAAGTGGAAGAAATGGGCATACAACCCAGGTTTGCAAAGCCTCACGCCAAACTTCTACTCCGTAGTCCACACAACCCAAACTGAACAGTTCATCTTCATCCTGCCTTGTGAAATGTTTCAGGCACTGCATTATGGAAGCCTCTGGATTATAGCATTTTTAAAAAATGATTTATGGTATCCACAATGGCTTTTTTTCAGATATTATAATATCCAGGCTGTTCTCCACAGAGGATGTTTCCTGACCTGGCACGGTGCGGCAGTAGGCAGATACCTGGGCCAGCTGTGAACAATTTCACCAGCTAACACTGCATATTTCCAACAGCCACTGATGGATACGAGCTTGGACGGAGCGCGGCACCACTGAGCCTGTCTGGCTTCCTGGGACAGCATGGTCTGACTTGGCTGGGGTAACATCTGTCTGAGAAACAGACGGGTCCTACCTCAGATGAATCCTGTCAGGGATAATACTCTATTCTGTGCAGTGAACAGGAATACAGTGTAAGTGAAACTGCTTACAACTGCTGAAGTTATCCCATCTGTTTCTATTCCATGAGGTTTGAAATGGGGAAATCATCATTCTATTGAAATTGCTTACGTTCTAGTGATAATTTTTATCAGATCAGCTTTGGAACATTTAATAAACTGTACCTTGAGAAATTGTGTGAAAACAGCATTGGAAAAGTGAAGTACCTTCTGTTGAAAAACAACCCTGTTTTCAGAAAAAAAGATAAAACTTTGAGCCTGAAACATTTCTGCCAGTTTGGATGATGATTTATCTCCAGAAAAACAAAGGTTGGCTGTGTTACTATATGGTGAATATATTTTATATTGCCGCAACAATTCCTTGTTTGCTTTCTAAAGGGTTACAAATTTACGTGAGAAGGAAGAGCTTGTTTAAGTTGTAACAGTACTTGATGGTCAGCACAACAAAGTCCTTAGTTGGGATTGCCTCAGTAAAGAATACCTTCTTCTAAGTGACTATTCTGGTGTGTTCCAGTAGAGTTTTCTGTATAATTTAGAAGGTGCTTTTGATTCACGGATGTACGCTTCCTGAAGGGCTGTCTTCACTCCTTTTTTCCCCGCACTGCTAGCGTAGGCTCCGGTGATGGATTCGTACTCGGGTGCGAACTGAGAGCTGTTCGGCTTCCGTGTGCTTCTGGTTTTGCCCTGGTCTGGACCTGGACGCTGCAAAATGCGTGTTTTGTTTCGCCCGCTTGGCGAAGCTCAAGCGCAGCCCTTTCCCCGTGTGGCCGCCACGGCAGGCGATGGAGCGGCAGCACCCCCCTGTGGGACACCACATCGCTGCTCGCTTACGAGGCACCAGGCAAGAGCTAGGAGGCCGGGGTTGCACACAGCATCCCCGGGGAGCGCGGCCGTCCAGCGCAACCCTCCGGAGCCTGCGGAAGGTAAGGCACAATAAATAGATTTCTTGCATCGCTATGCCTCGCAGGCAGTTTCTTCTCCGTGGAGAAGATTGAGCCGCTCTGACTCTTCATAAAAATTCAGGCTCACATTTTTCTCAAATACTTTATTGCTTCTCCTTATTTCTGCAAGGTCTGTTTTCCAGGAGAGAGGCAGGAGAGGGCCTGGTGGCGGGGAGGGGGCACGGATGTGCCACCATGGCTTCAGGAACCTGCACCACCTCTTCCTCGAATTTTCCCTGCTGCCCTCCGTGCCCTCAGGAGGGTCTGGACGGCAACGATGCTGACATTAGAAGCCTCAAGATTGAGAAACGCAGCGAGGTTGCCTGACGTACCCTTTTGCCCACGTTGCTGAGCGCGCCACCATAGGTAGTCACCAGTTCCCGACATCAGCCCTACTGTTGTTCCTACCACACACCACTTCCAGGAGTGGTGTGTCAGTCCTGCTTCCAGTCCTTCCAGCTGTCCTCCCTCCCTGCCCTTTCCCTAGGCAGGGCCACCTTTGTTTGTAAGAGAGAGGCTGGCAGGTGGCTGGAAAACAAGGATGGACTTTGCCCCAGCCCTTTCCCAGGAAGACGGTGCAGTTCTATTGTGTACAGTTAAGCTCCTGATCACTTTTGCTTGTTATTATAAAAGGTTCTTTGAGGGAGAGCTGAGAGGGGAGAAGTTTCTTGATGTTTCATGATCTGGCATCATATTTTACACTCCTTCAGGCCTGTCATCCTGTCTGTACATGGAACTGCTGTTGCAGGGGCAGAAATGCTCCAGGATGGCTGGAAACAAAAGTGCCCATCCTTACTGATGGGCTCTGTCACCAGTTTGCTTCATTCTACACTACTGGCTAGAGCTCAGAAATGTTTTGGAAGTACAGCATCACTTTTCCCTGAGCACCATCATCTATTATACCACGGTACAATACCTTGGAATTAGGCCAGCCTGTTGTAAAGAATACTGACTTTTAGTTGGATATCTGAAGACAATCACCTCCTCCACCCGTTCTCTCTGTCCTTTCAGCCCTTTCTTCCATTTACATAGACTCTGTGGGCACCCACCCCTTTTCCCACATGCCCTTTGCATTCTGCTGCCCTGTTCTCCAGTGCTCATGCAACTCTGCTGTAGCTGCGTTCTGCCTTCCATGTCCAGTTCAGTACATTTCTTGTGTGTGTTTTCTGTCCCTGGCTTTTTTCACAAGCATGGCCGTAGATAGCCATCTCTTTGGCATCTCAAAGACTGCCTTTCCTTCCTCTCCAGATGTTTGCTGTAGTGGTTCCTGAGCGTACGGTTTTGGGTAAACTACGCAGATGTTGTTTTGTGCATAATTTAATTCTTTGGTGAGACACCTCTGAAGCCAGCTTTGCTGAGAGTTTGGGAAAATAAATAGGGCTATCTCCTGACCCTTTCATATCCTACCAAAACTTTACCCCTGTTACTTTTTCAAATGGCCATTTCCCGTTCTCTCATCTACTAACATGAGGATTGGTCAACAGAGAGATACCAGAAGCAACAGTTGATGGATGCAATGCTCTTTAGTAGTTCACAACAATAACACACATTTTGTAAGCATTCCAGTGAACTAGCCAAACAGTGGTTATTTTTCGTAGTTAAACAACACACAAGGTGATAAACTGAACAAGGCTTCAACAAAAGTTTTTTCTAAATAACACTAAAAGATGACATTTTTTAAATATTTGAAAAAGCATCAGAATTTCCATTGGTGTATAAGCATGCCTTTCAAGTAGATAAAGGAAATAGTATGATATGATTCCCTTATCTTTTTTTCAGTAGAAGGTAAGATCTGATTTCCAGCTTAGAAGTTCTATGTTCTACAGGTCATCACTTAAACACAACCTTTTTATCAGCGTTAGCACTGAAAACTAAGCTAGCTTAGCTATTACTTAGTCTTTGCAAGCATGCTCTCTGTTGTTGAATGAACAAACAAACAAACAATCATCTGCAGTTTCTACATTATCACCAGAAAGTGATGCCGCCAGATGTTTCATCTGGTTATAACTTCAACCTTAAAAAAAAAAAAAAAAGTTTTGAGAGTCTGTTGAAATGTCCTTCAGTTTGGGGATTTTTTTGCTGTGAAGGATTTTGGGGAACTTTAGCTTGAGATGGAAAGTCGTACCTCACATAATGCACTCAGATATTCTTCATTGTCAGGACACAATGCAATGGCTTTCTCATAGCACTCAATTGCTTCATGTGTCTCACCATTTAGATTGTGAACTAGTCCAAGTGTAGCAAAATCTGTTGCATCACCTAAACCTTCCTGAATTCTCTGTTCCAACAATTTCTTCAGAGCATTTCCGCACTGTTTTCTTCGATAAGAATCTTCTTCAATTTTCAGCCCTTCTATGTAATACCTAATGGCTTCAGATTCTGATTTCATATGAAAACGCTGAAAATTGCCATAATTATAGTAGAAGTGTTGTTTATCGACACAGCTTAGAATATTTATCTGAAATGCTTTCTGAAATGTCTCTTCTGCTTCTTCATACCTCTTTGCTTGTGCGTACATGTTTGCTAGGTCAATATGGGCAGTAAAAAATTTTGCCTTTTGGCCAGTCACTGTTTTAAAATGAAAAATGGAAAGTCGGATGAGTTCGTCCACTTGTTCTTGAGGTGGATATCTTGTAGTCTTTTTCAGTTGAATCAGCTTTGCTCTGTAGCAGAGACCTAGTTGATGATGCAAAAAGGCAGATTTTGGTGTCACTGCTAGGGCCTTTTTCAAAATCTTCAGTGCCTTGTCCACTTCTCCTTTCCTTCTGTAAAATTTAGCAGCATATCGCAGGAAATAAGGAAGATTGGGGGTTTTCTGCATTGCTTCTTCAATGTACCTCTCCCCTTCATCAACTCGCATTAAGTCCTGAAGTTTTAATGCAAGTAATGCCATAATGAAAGTATCCTTTGGATTCAGTTCCACTGCACGCTCCAGGGGCTTGAGGGACGGGCCTAAATCTTGGCATAGTCTATAAGAAAAATCTTCCAAACGATACATTGCTATTGCATAGCCAGCATTAAATTCCGGGTTATTGGGTTCATTCTTCAGAGCATTTTCAAAGCAATTCTTTGCTCTCTCGTAGTACTTTCCCCCAAACTTTAATAATGCCCATCCTTGCTCAGCATAGATCTCTGGAAGCTGAATCTTCTGTTGAGCAGTACTTGAAAGCTTTTTGCAGCTGTTTTCCACTTTGCTTACATAAGCTTGAGCTTCTTCGTATCTCTCCATGTGGTAATAGATCCAGGCATAGTTCCCCCAGGTAACAAGACTTCTCCTGGCTATTTCATCTGAATGATTTTTTTTAACTTCTTCTTCAGCTTTTTGGAGATTTCTCAGGGCTTCCTCATTTGAATTCTTTAGGTGGCATACATAGGATAGGAGATTATAATTTGTGACATTGGATTTTATGAAAAACTCGATCTGATCGCCTATTGTTTCCTCTAGGTCATCAAGATCCACATCCTGCTTCAGCAAAGTCCATGTAAAATGACATTCTAGCTGCAGCAGGGAGCTCTTCAGGGAATTCTTGGAAATGGTACTAGAAGAAATCAAAGAAAAACTTACTTGTACTCCATTTGCTTTTTGCTACTCTTGTTTTTAAACCAGGCATGATGTACTTCAAAAACAAGCAATACCTTACCTGGTGTGACTAGTCAACAATACTTCAAACAAGCCAAAGCTGTGGGAAGCCATAGGTCTAAATTGCTCAATAGTTATCTTAGCAATTCTCCTTGCTGGTGTATGAGGGCATCTCTTACATTGACATCCAGACCACCAGCTCTGTTGCTAAGAGGAGGGCTAGGCTCTATGGTAAAGCTGGCACATCTCTGGGCCTCAGGAACATATTTTCTATGCTGGGAACAGTTGCTGAAGCCTACCCAAAAGAGGTAATAAAATAAAAAACTTCCCCCAAAATATAGAGAAAGTGATATATTGCCTTTCCCATGTCTCTGTATATTTTATGGTTTGGATTATAAATTTCACTTTTAATTTCCAGCATTTGTAAATCCTTGTTTGTTAGATCATAGCACTATTTTTATGTTATGATTATACTGATGTATCCAGTAGCTGGCTCCCAAATCCCACTAGTCTCCCCAGTTGCTGACACTTGGGTATACAGGCCCCTGAGGGTGCAACCCCACTCCACTTCTGGTACAGACCACTCACTCACTCACTCACTCACCCCACGGATCCCCAGAAGCTGGCTTTGGACATCCAGTAGCTGGTCAGGGATCCTCTCTCTACCCAGGTGCCTCACCCCTAGACACGCACGCATGCATACCGACCAGACCCTGTTTACATACAACTGGTCCTTAATGCCCCTTTATCCCTCTCTATTTTTCAACATTTGTTCCTTCCCAAGTCACCCAGAATCCCTTGTTTCCTTGCCTTTTGTCCCCTCTCCAAACATCCCATAAGAAGTCTCATGCAACTTCCAAATGCTTTTCCCTGCATCCCGTGATCTGTCCCATATCCCTAGGCAGTTCAGACCATAAGGCTCTCCTGTGGACCCTGCTGCTGGGTGTTCCCCTGGCCCATGGGGCTGAGGGTCCCTCGGGCAGCCCTGGGGGGGCCGGGTGGGGACTGGTGTCCCTGACTGGGGCATTGGGGAGCCCCCACCTGTCCTCGTGCCTCTGTGCTCCTCCATGTGCATGGGGATGGGCTGATGGCTCTTGGGACGGGTCTGGGAGCCGCCGGCTGTGGTGGGTTGACCCTGGCTGGATGCCAGGCATCCACCAAAGCTGTTCTATCACTTCCCGCCTCAGCTGGACAGGGGAGAGAAAATAATATAACAAAGGGCTGGTGGGTCGAGATAAGGACAGGAGAGATCACTCACCAACTACCGTCACAGGCAAAACAGACTCAGCTTGGGGAAAATTAACTCAATTTATTACCAATCAACCAGAGCAGGGTAATGAGAAATAAAACCAAATCTTAAAACACCTTCCCCCCACCCCTCCCTTCTTCCCAGGCACAGCTTCACTCCCAAACTCTCTACCTACCCGCCCCGAGCAGAGCAGGGGGGCAGGGAATGGGGGTTACGGTCAATTCATCACATGTTGTCTCTGTCGCTTCATCCTCCTCAGAGGCAGGACTCCTCACACTCTTCCCCTGCTCCAGCATGGAGTCCCTCCCACGGGAGACAGTCCTTCACAAACTTCTCCAACGTGGGTCCTTCCAACGGGCTGCAGTTCTTCACGAACTGCTCCAGTGTGGGTCCTTTCCATGGTGTGCAGTCCTTCAGGAGCACACTGCTCCAGTGTGGGTCCCCCACGGGGTCACAAGTCCTGCCAGAAAACCTGCTCCGTGGGCTCTTCTCCACAGATCCGCAGGTCCTGCCAGGAGCCTACTCCAGCGCGGGCTTCCCACGGGGTCACAGCCTCCTTCAGGCACCCACCTGCTCCGGCATGGGTCCTCCATGGGCTGCAGGTGGAGATCTCCTCCCCTGTGGACCTCCCTGGGCTGCAGGGGGACAGCCTGCCTCACCATGGTCTTCCCCACGGGCTGCAGGGGAATCTCTGCTCTGGCACCTGGAGCGTCTCCTCCCCCTCCTTCTGCACTGACCTGGGGGTCTGCAGGGTTGTTTCTCTTACATGTTCTCACTCTCTCTCCAGCTGCCGTTTCTGTCTGTCCCAGCAACTTTTTTTCCCTCTTAAACATGTTATCCCAGAGGCCCTACCACTATCGCTGATGGGCTCGGCCTTGGCCAGCGGCGGGTCGGTCTTAGAGCCGGCTGGCATTGGCTCTGTTGGACACAGGGCAAGCTTCCAGCAGCTTCTCACAGAAGCCACCCCTGTAAACACACCCCCCCCCGCTACCAAAACCTTGCCACACAAATCCAATACACCAGAGCAGGGTGTTATTTGGGTTCCACCTCCTGCCATTGCCTGCCTGTGCCCCTGTGTAGGTGTGCAGACCAGCTTTTATCACACAACCTATCAAGAACACACCTTTACAATGCAGAGGAGATGACACTTTAGTCCATATTGCACTCTCCCTTAAAGAAGGAATTATACACATTTTTATAACTGAGGCTTCCCAGTCAAATCCTTCTTCGTTAGAAAGACTTCTCTGCCCTCCCTCCTGTAAAACCTAGAGAGTCTAACAGCCTGTGTGGTACAACGTGTGCTACCGCTCAACTGCACAATCATGTAAAAGAGGAGATGTCTTTGGGGTAAAAAAAAAAAAAAGGACAGAGTGGAAAAACTGGAAAATTATGAGGAGGCAAATCAAGGAGGAATCGGGAAGCAATTCTTACAGGTTCTGGGACAGTGGGAAGGACACTGGGGAAAGTGACACTGAATACGTGTTTCCACCTGCACCATCTGATACAGAGGTACTGGAGGAAGGTCAGACAAGAAAAGGTATTTATAAATGCTGTTAATGCATAAGGTTGTCTTACAGACTACTTTGCCTTTCTCAAATAATATCTACCCTGCCTCACTGATGTTTTTGATTGGTATTAACAACAGTTCCTAACTAGAGAGCTGTATGTGAGGTAATTACAGTTCTTCTGACATGAAAGGGAAGTGCAAGTAAGTTCCTGTTATTATCACTATCTTGTTAGAAACCTTTGGCTACAGGTGAATACTACAGAACAGATAGTGGCCCTCAAATCAGCAGGAATAGCTTGCAGCACTTAAGTAGTCCCATTTCATTTAAAATGAAATGTGTGCTGGTTTTTATTGCCTCAGCTGAGAACCATGGCAATTCATAGCTGCAAACAGCAGTGGAGAGTAATTAATGAAAAGACATTTGTGGAAAATGAATATTTAAGAATGTCACAAAACCAGGTTTCTGATGCAGATTAAATACAGTTTAGCTCAGTTCAACATATAACTGGTAAATGCAATTTCCAAAGTCATCATAAACATCTTGGCTTTGCCCTGTTTCAATATGTGTGCCTCTGTGCATGCGTGACAGTCTTTAGAAAACATTACACCCCGCCCTTACGCTCCAAGCTCTAGCCCAGAACCTGCACTGCCCTGTTTGCTGGTCGTTGCAGTCGTAGAGATCAGAAAGTAAATTCTCAATGCATCAGTGCCAGTCACCCATTTGGCTGGGCACCAGCTATGGCTCCAGCCTGGATTTCATCCCTGAACTGCATGCACATAGTTTTTTCTGACTGTCAGTTCTGTTCACAGAGACTGGCCCTTGCTGGAGAAGCAATAATGCTACAATATTCAATAGCATCCTTATTCTATTTTGATTCTTCCAGTAAACATTCTGTAAAATATTTTCTGCTGTTTGGATCCCCAAAGTCTCTCACCACTTACATTTATGTAAATAATAAGCATTATTTTCCCGTGGCATAGCAAAAAAGCATCTTTCAGAGACTGCCTTGCTCACTTACCCCATGGTTTTCCTTCTCTGCTCACTTGTCTTAAGGTAGCTTCAAAGCCAAAGGAGTGCTGCTCACTGTTGTTACTTCCCTTTTATGTGCTCTGGTCCTCATGTGATCTGTGAGTAATTTAATGGGAACCAGAAAGTGAAACTTCAGCTTATGTCTGAATCTGCCAAAGAAGCTGAAACAACTGCCGGCAGGGAAATAGAAACTTAGGAGTCACCAAGCTGCTTTTTTCAGCCTGGCTCTGTGCCATGCGTTACATTGTGCTGTGGAGAATGTGGCAACAGCTCCTAATAGCTCCCAGCGTTTACTTTGTTCAAATCCAGAGGCATCTATGATAAGGTGAATATTTCAGGCTAGTATAGACTGACCTGGTTATCACACATAGGCTAGGGAAGGGTCATTTCCCCCTCCTGCCTCTGCTGATGCATCTTTGCACAATTTTTACCGTGCTTTAGGCTCCTGTTTTGTTGGTATTGCGTCATCCACATAACACTCACACAATGTCTTATCGCCCCTTGCCGGCACTCCTTCATCTTGTGTCTCCACATTGTAAGGTCTCTGCTGTTGTACCAGGCCTGTATTTCTCCACGCTATGATGTCATTGTGTAAGAGTACGAAATACCTCATCCCACCTAGAACAACTGTTTGTTGCTGCTCTCTACATACAACTGCAGTTGTACTGTGCACAGAGAAACGAAAGTAAAACAAATTAGATGATACAAACAGTAAATTCAAGGAATTGCTGTCACAGCTGTGCCAAGCAAAACAAAGCTGCGGGCAGGTCAGGAAAAGCTCAAACAGAGTGGGCCTGGCAAGCCTCGGTCCCGAGGCCATGCAAACTCAGTGCAAAGCTTATGGCCTGTTGCTAGCAACAGCAATGCTGTGTTACAGGGCTACACATTAACAAAGAGATGGGGCACAGGTTGGGTACGGGAGCACCTATGGATATAAACAACTCACTGATGCTTAGTTTAAAAAAAAATAAATGCAGACCTGGCTTGATAAAATTTTATTATTTTAGGGGTAACAAAGAGATCAAAGAAATAGTATCTTACATAAGTAAATGGCACTATAGATGGTAAATTTGGATGTACCCTGAAGTTGCAGACCAGTGAAGAAAAAGAAAGGTGTAAAAGCATGTTAGCAAACATAAAAATGACCCAAAGTGGATCCTGGGGACAGGAAGAAGAAACCACCACCATTAGCATCATGTTTCTCCCACGGAAGGATGCCAGTGGCTGATGACTGTTGGTGGGTGTTATTCCCTCCAGCAGCCTGAAGCTACTAATCTGAATGCCCAGAGGAGCAAATTCTAAGGGAAGGAATAGAAACTAAGAAGTGTCCATGCACATGCATGTGTGTGTAACAATTTTAACCACAATATTACTATTATTGTGAATTTTTCTGTAAAAAAGTACTTTAACTGCATTATCATTCTTTCTCTTTTTGTAATAATTAGATCTAGACTAATGATAATTCTTGCATTAGACTAAGATTTTCATTATACTAACAAAACAATTCTTGTCTTTACCTATGTATATAAGATTTGATTTCTCTTTACCCATAAACAAGAATCCATTCCATTTTAAAATGTGAGAACATCTTGTTAAGAAATATGTTTAATTAGACACTGTCTAATGTCCTTTCATAATGATTACCTGTAGAATTTGAGCCGCCTCCCCATTTTGTAGGAATGAGCAAATAAAAATGCATATAAGGGTGCCTCACAAGGCTTCTCATTGTTCCTGGTATATGACAGTGTCAGCTCCCCTCGTTTTGTGAGGTTTTTAGTGGATGATGCACAAGGTTGTCCCTCTGTCCTAACAAGCCAGAAAGTCATTTATATCAAACCTCATTTTCACCTCAGAACTGCTGCTGCTGCCATCACGTTCAATCTCTGCAATTACACACAAGAATTAACAGTATTCCATGTTTTTATTTATAAATGAATATAATCTGACTGCTAGTTTGTACATTTTTGAGAATTTTAGGTTCTGGCTTATAAAAGTTTATCTTCTGCAGTATGAACAGTCTGTATTTCCACCCTCACAAGTGTGTAGGAAGCATCTACATAGGGCGGAGTACATCTCTGGATCTGGTGGCAAGCTGCACTCATCCTCCGGGTTTGGCCAGGTGGTGGGTCTGGCTGGCTGGCTCCAGCGACTCTCGGGCTGTCCGGGGGGGAAGCCGGGGAAGCGCTCCCAGAGGTGTGGGGAGCTTCAGCCTGTATGGAGTGAATTCCCGGGAGGCAGGGACTATTCAGGACAAGGCTGTCCTTTCCCTTCTCTTTCTCTTTCCCCTTCTTTTAAAAACAAAACAAACAGTCTTACATATGAGAAAGTCTGGTTTTTACAAGAAGTTGGAGAGCCTTAGTAACACACATGTCTCTTGTGTCTCATTTAAGTGATTTTTTGTGGGGGTGTGGGTGGGGTTTGGGGGTGTTTTTTTGGAGCTGATGTTTCAGAGCTCAAGATAAAGATTAGTACAGCTACTACTCTGAGTGGCATGCAATGTTCTAGCAATCAGGTATTTAATAAGCGGTGAAAAGAAGCGGTGAATTGGGAAGGAAAAAGTATTAGGGTATCTACACAGATTCATGTATTTTATGGAAAATAAAGTTAGGCTTCTGCAAGGCCAAAATCAAACGTGGACGCTAATGATTTACTAACTATGCTACTAAGTATCTATGGGTTTCTTGTCTCTGCTTCTGTCCCAGGTGCCTGTTTTCTCTGGTACATCGCTTGGTACGTATGGGAAAATGCAGGAATTTTCCTTCTGGAATGCAAAAATTTGCCCTAATATCCATATTTTTACAAATTAATTTGCATCTATATGCTTTGGTTTGACACAAATGCCTATTGAATAGAATAAGTGCACAAAGTGCTTGAAATAGAGTAAGTGAAAGTAAGAGAATAGTTATGCAATGCCTTTCTGCAGCCATCTTTGTAACTTGCTTGGCACGGCACAGGAAAATTCAGAAATACTTGTACAGCCCTGCTGCTTTCACTTCTGGGAAAGCTGCAGCTGGGCTGATTGGTATCAGGGAGAGCTGCGTTGCATAGCAGCAACTGCAAGGGCTTCTTGGAAAACACTTGGCCAGAAATGGGCTGGAAACAACAACTGCATTCACATTTAACACAAAGGCTTTGTTTGAGTGTTCTGTACATATACAAGAATAAGGAATGGCTTCAAAAATATCTACGCTTTTTGAGGAGAAAACTCATATCTGTAAATTTCCTTGGAGCTGAAATGGATACCTGCTGACAAAGAATTCTCCCTGGTACCATTAGCTCAGCCAAACAATTGCCTGAAATGCAGTTTTCATTATTAAAATAATGTAAATGACAGGATCACTTTAAGTATCCCATTTTATGCTGGTTAAAATTTAGCCTAGTTTAGCATATAATAACTGTTTGACAGCAGCAGTTGTGGCATTTTATAACTTGGGTTTTCCCCTAGGGGGGAAGAGTACCGTGTAATTAATTTGACTGAAAACCCAAGTGAATCACTGAGTGATATTGTTGTTGCCCAAGTTCTTTAAAACCAAACAACCCTAAGAAATGGCATCCAGGAATGCAAAGGGTCGCATAGCATCACTTGTATTGAGTGATGTATCCATGTACAAGGGGATGCTATGAAAATGTCAATGATTTTTCAATTAAAATCTTAATGCTTTCTAAATAAACAGAAACATTTCTGTTCTTGACGCACTCCTGCTCTGCCGCTGTGCATTTTATATCAGGTTTCTCTATTGTTCTGAGGATATTACTATGGCCCTGGACCTAGTAACATGAATACTTACAGGACTGAATTTGGTCCCAGTTTTTGCAAGCCTGGTCACACGTCCCCTGACGGCTCTGCTGGGAAATTACAGATGTGCAATGCGGTGCCAGTTAGTTGCCTCAGAGCGTGAAGACAGAACAGGTTTGCAAGAAGCTGTGGTGGTAACCCCGCTGGAACCGTGTGCCTGCATGGAACTTAAGCCCACTTGTATTAGATCTGGTATGTTTAGGCTGTGCTCAAAGATGATGGGCAGATGATCTCTCCGTGTAAGAAGAGCAGCGATCGCTGACAGCGCCTTACAGCCCCTCCGCAGGACCGGCCCTTCCCGAGGGGCAGGCGCTCAGCACGCCGGGGAGGCATCCCGCGGGGACGCTCCCGCCACCGGGAGAGGCGAGGCCTCAGCCCCTCCGCGCTGCTGCTGCTGCTGCTGCTTTCTCCCCCGCGACTGCTGCGGGATCCGGGCAGAAAATAAAATACCCCCTCGCAGGGCGGGCGGCACCGTCAGGACTCTGGAGACTTCCGACGAGGAGCAGATGCGGGAGACGAGGAGGGCTGGGGAGCAAAAATCGTGGGCGCCGTTCTCGGGGCTGAAAGATTTCTGAAAATCGAGCCCGGGGCGGGCGGTGGGTGGTGGTGGGGAATCTACCCAGGTATTACTTGAGAAACGCTGAATCACGCCGGCTCAGGCGGCCCAAGGCCGCGCACCCCCGGCCCGCGGGCTCCCG